CAGTGCACTAGGGCTGCAACAACAAATCGATAATATCAATAAAAATAGATTATTATAATAATCGTTAGTTGCAGCTCTACAGTGCACCCAGGACCAGAGAGAGTCACATTCTAATGGACTGGGGCAAGTTTCTCCTCCATGTGGAGTGGGATATTTTTACAAGGACAACTGTGTGACTTGTATGTAGTTTCATGACCTTCTTCACTTGACCCACAAAAATAAACAGGCAATAAATCACTGTGGTTTTATTGCTCGGTTTACAAGGCGCCTGAAATGCTGAGTTTTACTTAGTGTGGAAGGAAGAGGCAACCTGGAGTTTTGAGGAAAAAACTGTTTTTGCTCAGCAGGAATTACCCTTAGGAGTCTGGTGTGTGTGTGAATGGTTGGTGGTGGTGGGAGGGGCCGATGGCACAGACTGGTTGCCTCGCTTCTGTCAGTGTGCCCCAGGGCAGCTGTGGCTACAGTAGTAGTTTATCACCACTGTGTTTGGAGAGAAAGAATAATGACATGTGAAGCGTCTTTGAGTGTCCTGAAAAGCGCTGTATAAAACCGATGCATTATTATTATTAAGACAGTCATTATTAAACATAGGTAAAACAATATTATAAGTGAGATGGGGTCTAATCCACTCTCTGCTCAGACCACAGGCCTGGTGTGTGTGTGTGTGTGTGTGTGTGTGTGTGTGTGTGTGTGTGTGTGTCTGTGTGTGTGTGTGTCTGTGTGTCTGTGTGTCTGTGTGTGTGTCTGTCTGTGTGTGTGTGTGTGTGTGTGTGTCTGTGTGTCTGTGTGTGTGTGTGTCTGTGTGTCTGTGTGTGTGTCTGTCTGTGTGTGTGTGTGTGTGTGTGTGTGTGTGTGTGTCTGTGTGTCTGTGTGCGTGCGTGTGAATGGCTGGTGGTGGTCTGAGGGGCTGATGGCACATATTGGTTGCCCCAGGACAGTTTATCACTACTGTGTATTGACTGAAAGAACAATGACATGAAGCGTCTTTGAGTGTCCTGAAAAGCACAATATAAAACTGATGCATTATTATTATTAGAATTATATCACAGATTCAGAGTTGAAAATCTACAAAGTTAAAGCAGTGATGTGGGTGTGGTGGTCAGCCAGGGGAAGAGCCAGACTCGTTTTATTCAGCAGGCCAAAATGAAACCGAATCATACAGAACATATTCTTGTAAATATATCAAACAGGATTCTACCCTTGGTTCAAATCCAGGTTCAAAACAGTTGTGTTTAGCTGTGCATGCACCCAAAAGATTATATATACACAGTTTTAATATGCTGTGAATATTAATGTTTTAGCTGTGTATGATTTTTTATGACTTTAATCTTTCTTGTTTTGTAAAGCACTTTAAGTTGCCTTGTGTATAGTGCTGCACAATTAAACTTGTCCTGCCTTGCCATAATGTGTTTTTCATAAATGGTAAGCTTGCATGGATATCCCAAAATGAATAACGGGTATGTACAATTTGTAGTAAAAAATGATATCTAGTAGTTTTCAATGCATTTGCAGATATTTTTCAGATCTCAGAACACACTTGTGGGTCCTTAGAGGGCTGCGTTTTATTGGCGGGCAGCATTTTTGAACAGCTGCTCTAAAGCCAACTGTGAATGAGAAAATTACGCGTAAACACAACAAATAACTAAAAACATGTCCCCTTTTCAATGGCCGTAAAAACTACAACAAATCTTAGCATTGGTCTTCCTTCGGGACCCCTGCAGGGCACACAGACCCCCCCCCCCCGCTGTGTCGTCCCGGGCCTCTCCACAACTCCTCTCTTTCATGTCCTCAGATCTCCTTCAAACTCTGGTTTCCTCGGCGCGGCAGCCATTTGGACATGGCGCCATGACTGCAGGCCCAGAACCAACTGCTACGACAACAAAACACATTGGACTTTAGAATCTATGCCAAACATGGACATTTTGTGACATTTTCAACATTAGACATTGTGGTGTTGGTCTTAAAGGAGGCATGTGAAGATTTTAATCATGTTATAACATTGTCGTCTGATAAGAAACGATCTAGAGTTGTTTTAAACTCCATCCGCACTCAGGAATCTCAGGAATGTCTGGCCCAAACACCTACTCCTGCCCGTCAGTCTCAAAGTCGTAACATTTGAGAATTCCTTAATTCAGGCCCATCATCATGCCTTCTCTAACATAAGTATTGCCTCCACATTTGGCAGAGTTGTCATGTTTGATGTTGACAAGAAAATATTGAATGCGTAGTAGAAAAGGGGAGTTAGAGGCTGAGAAGGGGTCGATGGATTTGAGTCTTGGCGGTGTGACGAGTGAGTGAATGGAGGGTGTTTGGTCAGAGGCTTTGAGGCCCCAGTGTGTTCCACTTCTCGCTTCCGTCATCACCGTGGGGAGAGAATGGAACAATATCTGAACTCTGATCATTGTCAAGCGCTTTGGGTGACTTACTGACTTACATACTTAACATGTTTTGGGGGGGTATTGTAAAACCAGTTTACCTACAAGCTTTGTTTATATTGGCTGAGATAATATTTGAAATATTGGTGGCCGAATGGAGGGAGTTAAATGATTAAAATTAGGGATGTACCGAAGATCCAGAATTTTTGTAATCCGATCCGATTCGGATATTCTTAAATATTGTTTTGCCGATACCGATCCGATACAATTTTTTCTAATATTTTCAAAGCATTAAAGAATTTGCAATTTTACCTGAATAAATACGTTTGTGGTGTCGCTAACACACGTTAGCCCTGTTTACAGTCACAGGGAATGAGGCTCGAGGAATATGTTCACACAGTCTCCCCCATAGTTAGTCCTGGTGAAATCCTGGTTTAGTCCTGGTTTATCTCCTGTTTTGTGTCCCCATGGCGGCTCTGTGCGGCCGCTCTCTGATAGCTCTCTGATAGCTCTCTGATAGCTCTCTAAAAGCCGCACAGAAGAAAAAGTTCCTCACTTGCTGTCGCCGCATGCCCCGGGTCTCTGTGTCCACTGCCTCTGCCACAGCGCACATGCTAAGCCTCGCACAGACGTGCAGAACCACTGACACGGCACTGAAAAACAATCTTTAGATCCATGGACGCTACGTATGGTGCGGTTGTTGTTTATGCATTTCCCGGAAAGTTTTGCGGTTGACGCTTGGCTGTGATAGGTCGAGAAGCCTCTCCCTACATCCCCCAGAATGCTGCGCGCCTCTGACTCGGCTTTACTTCCTGTGTCCTGTTTTTTCTAACAGAGTGACGTTAAACTAACATTCTATCGACCCTGTTTTCTGTTGATATCGAACACGTGTCTATCACAATATCTCTCGTTGTCGCTTTATCGGCCAGCCCTAGTTTTACATTGTATTTAATTTACGGCAGCCGTAAAGCGTGAGCTGCTGAAAAGTGACGTAGATCGGCTTCATATTTACCAAATCCGATATTATCCGATCCTTACAAAATACCCATATCGGCCCCCGACACAGATACTGAATATCGGATCGGTACATCCCCAATTAAAAGTGTATAAATAATTTGAATAAATCAATAATAATTGATTATTGAACCCATTATACATCTTCTATCTAAGAAATGATCATGATGTTTAAGAGCTAAAAATATGGTATTTAAAGGGGATATAACAAATGCAACTTCCCACTAGGGTTGGGCGATATTTTTTTTGTACCGGTATACCGGTATAAGTAAATTAAATGATAAGAAAATGCCTTATACCGGTGAAAACAATCATTTAACACTGAAAACAGCGAGTGGAAGACACGTTTGTGTGCGGCGCACTTTGATGATGCATCTGCGCGACACGTGTAGCAGAGCGGCGTGCAGCGACAACAACAACAGAGCAGAGAGCAAACATGGCTGAGGGCGGCGGTGAAGACCATGGTGAAGACATGCAGATTGTAGAAGACATTGTGCCAAAACGCGGAGCTACCTCAAACATATGGGAGTAGTTTGGGAACTAGATAAAAAGAAGCAATTGTGTGTAACTATCGACAGTGGATCTAATGTTGTGAAAGCAGCTGCCCTAAACAACTGGACTCTCTCTCTCTCTCTCTCTCTCTCTCTCTCTCTCTCTCTCTCTCTCTCTCTCTCTCTCTCTCTCTCTCTCTCTCTCTCTCTCTCTCTCTCTCTCTCTCTCTCTCTCTCTCCTCTCTCTCTCTCTCTCTCTCTCTCTCTCTCTCTCTCTCTCTCTCTCTCTCTCTCTCTCTCTCTCTCTCTCTCATAGTGCCATTGGTAAGCTTTATTTACTGTTTACTGTCATTCATTTTACTTCAATGCATGTGTTTGTCTACATTGCAATATAATTACAAATAAGTTATAATTACATAATTATAGAAACGCAAAAGGATACAAAAAATATATACAGTATTTGATCATTTTGACTATATTGGGATTAGGAAACATAAGCCAAAGTGATCAAATAATTATTTGATAATGCTACACTTGTTATATTACAAAGGACAAACTTTTATATGTTTTACAAATTACAAATGTTCACCTTTATTACATGTTGCCTGCAATTTTCAGTATGTACAAAACAGAATTCTCTACAATTCAGTTTTGTTAATACGTTTTTTATACAATGGCTGTATTACACATTTTGCTGCCAATAAATCAGTAAATGCACTTCGAGGCAAGTGTGTTTAAAATTATCAGTGCTAAGTTTTTATAGCTTTTATATGAGGCTTTGTTAAAATTATCATATCGTCATATCGTGATACATACCAACAAAAATCGTGATACATGCTGAGGCCCATATCGCCCAACCCTAATTCCCACTACTTTAAATTACTAAATTAGTTGACAACTATTTCAACAACTGACTGGTTGTGTTTATTCAATGAACTTGCAACAGCTCTAGTACTTCTATAGGTGTGAATGTGGAAATGTGTCTTTGTGCCTTTTAATCCTCACACTTTTAAGTGAGTAGCCTGGAAATGACCTTTATACGTGCGCGCCTTCAGCCTTCTTCACATCATGATAACAAAGGCCAATACAGCGGCCAATCATTGATGATTATAATTCTGACATGATTCTACTGCATCACAAGCCTCTGACTGCACACAGAGCAGATGTAGCTCTGCAGCGCCCCCCATTGTCCCTGAGAAGAACTCCAGCCAGCGCCTCTTCAGAGCGACTCCCCTCCCCCACACACACACCCCTCACTCTGGCTGTGTGTGGCTCGGCTTGCTGGGCTGAGTGTGGCCTGGAGCGAAACACGGACAAAAACACATTTTACAAAATAGTCTTTTTTTTTTCATGTTTCAACACTGTTCAGAATCCAACACTGATCTGGAGTAGTTCGTCACGACAGCTCATGCCGGTGGACGATTTATTTATTCATAAATTGATCGCAACAAACTATATCGCAGTAAACTCTCCCCCCAATTCAAGGTTGACCGATGGTGTATTTTTTTTCCATCAGACAATTTCTCTTAAGTTTCACAGGCCTATACTTGATTTGAAACGCTGATTTCTTAGATTTGCATAATCTTTTATTTTGAACATGCATTGAGGTAAGAAGTATGATAGTGGTAAATTCTGATTGTAAAGAGCAAGCGGGTACGATCATGACTGTGTCATCGTTTTTAATGATGACCCAACAAACTATTTTTGAGAAGTCAAAAGGGACAAGATTTTAAGAAGAAGAAGAAGGTCTTTATTAGTCCCACAGTTATACATGCACACATCAAGGCATGCAGCGAACATTACTTCCACGCTCCTTTCAGGCAAAGTGGGTTAAGTGTCTTGCCCAAGGACACAACGACAGCAGACATCAGTGGAGAAGGTCTCATGGTGGGCTCGAAACCAACAACCTTCATGCTCAAAGGCCAACTCCAACTGAGCCACTGTCTCATTCATCATCAGAGATCCAACTAATGTCCTTCACTCTCAGTACGAACAGATGCATTCTGGGAAGAACAAGTTTAAATTCTCTTCCTCAGTCCATAAAACAGATGTCTTTGAGTGATTGATGTGTCAACCTGTGAACGTTATGTACAATGTGTAATGTCTTCTGTGTTTCTAAAGTTCAAGCTGTCTGCTCATTTATCTACACACCTTCCAAAAGTGTCCCAATGTTCCTTTTGTGGCAAAACACAGTGGATTGTTCGGTGATAAACGGTTGTGGTGCACAGACAACAGTAACACAACTGCTGCACATTTGCAGCTCATCAAGGTAATTGGTTGTGGGTTCCCAGCTTTGTTTAACAACAGTAAAGAGGTTTATATGTGGAGGGCCCCTCTGTTTGGAGACACATTTTTCCCTCAGGAAATGAAAGAATAAAAGAAACTTAAAGTTGCGCGAAGAGAAACATGTTGCTACAATGTTATTGTTGTAAATGTGAAATATCGTCAAATCCTACATAATGCCCCTTTAATGAAATAACACAGCGGAGAGCTTTCCCTTCATCCTGTACAGCTACAACCACAGCTACAACCACAGCTACAGCTACAACCACAGCTACAACCACAGCTACAGCTACAACCACAGCTACAACCACAGCTACAGCTACAGTACAACCACAGCTACAACCACAGCTACAACCACAGCTACAGTACAACCACAGCTACAGTACAACCACAGCTACAGTACAACCACAGCTACAACCACAGCTACAACCACAGCTACAGTACAACCACAGCTACAGTACAACCACAGCTACAGTACAACAGTAGTTACACTGGGTCAACATGAGTGGAATCCTGAGCAGCGGAGGGACGCGCCGGTGCCTGTTTCAGGAAGGTGTGTGCGTGTTGACATTTGAACACACTTTTATAAGTGAAGGGAAGGCGTGCAGCCCAAACAAGTCCTGGCTGGAGTCAAGAGAAAGTCAAGAGAAAACAGGTGGTAGTTTGGTCGTGATGCGGGTGGTCAACAACATACTGAAGTCCCAAAGTTATTCAATGGTCGAGGCGTGTGCATAAACTTGCACAGTCAAAACTAAGTAAACAAAAAGTATAAAGGTTGTTTATCTTTTGCTAATTAATTTGACGTCGTTATATGCTTCAGATTTTGTGAATTTGACTTGATGATCTCAAGAATATAAAACAAAAAGACAAATGCAAAACTGACTTTAAATGCTATAACAATAATGCTAATCAGAGTTGTTCAGTGATTGTTGAATTGTTATTTTACCTTATCCTTACACCTGCTGAGAAGACATTTTATGACTCAGATAATTCTATAATGACTAAAACGTGTTTACAGCATATTTGTACTAACTCAATGTGTAACTTGAATCTCTCTGAAGATGTTCTGAGCTTTGTTTTGGTCTGAAAGGAACTCTGCCAGATAATTGCAGAGATTGCCTTTTTAGAGATAGAATGTCTATATCATGGGAAGTTCTATATGCTGTTATACTAGAAGCAAGACAGCATAAGAATTGGAGAAATGCCCTAAATTACTTTCAGAAGAAATACTTGTGAAAGACAGAAAAGGCGCTTGTCCCTTACATATAGTCTGAGGATTTGTTTACTGTTTACACAATAATGGCAGTCTCAGTCCAACCATCCGACTGCTGCTGATTTAACACAGGCCTTAATTCACATTCAAAAACATGAATGACTAAAACAAATCAACATCACGTTTAGAGGACAATACTTAATGATACCACCCCCCAATGCAAAGGATGAAGTGGAGTTCTACAACAATATATTTGGAAAAGAGCTGCTGAGACGTTATATTCCCAGGCAGCAGCCATACAGCGGAATTAATAAGAGGGGTGAGAGCACTTTGGGTCAAAAAGTCACCAAAACACAGATTTATCTATTTATCACAGATTAAAAACACTGACCCAATTAATTTGTCAACCTCTTACCACCTCAGAAGAAATTAACTTTTTTATAACAGATACATTTTTACCGATTTGAGCTAAGTTCCTGTTTTTAGGGCTGGTCACGTTGAGAACAATAATCAAAATTCAGCTAAAAAAAGCATGACAGATATAGGCTGAGTTTACACGGAGACAATATGGCAGTAAAACGGTATAGTTGGATGTCAGTTTCTACCAATCTACGAAGACTGTGTTTCAGGGGAGTGAAAACGTAAGTGTTCAGATCCAGCCTCAGGCCCTGTTTATACTGAGACGCTGCGCAGACGTTTCCAGGCTATTAACAGAAACGACCTGGCTCCTAATGCAAATTTCTCAGCGTTCACATGAGTTGAAAAACGATGTAGTTCTAGCGCCCGGCCAGTAGTGGGCAGATAAACTTTACAACACGACACACGACCCCGAGCCCCGTGTCCAGCCCCCCTCTCGGCAGTGTACTCACTTCCTGTGCCAGACCCTCAGGACGCACCAACATCTATCTGCATTTTAACAGCAGCTGTGAAAATGGAAACTGAACCTAGAGCTTCGCGTGGTCTCGTTTGGACGAACGAAGGAGTAGAATTATCCTCTGTCCCGCGCTGGAAGCCCACGAAGCTAGTTTGTGTGGGCGGCGCCATTATTGTTGATGATTGTTCTCCGCTACTGCGCATGTCCAAATGTACGTGTGGGAGCAGCAGGAGGTGGGGGTCAGAGCAGCAGGAGGTGGGGTCAGAGCAGCAGGAGGTGAGGGTCAGAGCAGCAGGAGGTGGGGGTCAGAGCAGCAGGAGGTGGGGTCAGAGCAGCAGGAGGCGGGGGTCAGAGCAGCAGGAGGTGGGGTCAGAGCAGCAGGAGGTGGGGGTCAGAGCAGCAGGAGGTGGGGGTCAGAGCAGCAGGAGGTGAGGGTCAGAGCAGCAGGAGGTGGGGGTCAGAGCAGCAGGAGGTGGGGGTCAGAGCAGCAGGAGGTGGGGGTCAGAGCAGCAGGAGGTGGGGGTCAGAGCAGCAGGAGGTGGGGGTCAGAGCAGAGGGGGATTTCACACCTTTTCCCTCTCGCGGGTGTGAAAGAGCCCCCGCTGTGCAGCGTTTCTGAGTTGTCCCACTCTGCAGGCTGGATCTGAACACTTACGTTTTCACCTGGAACAGTCTTCGTATGAACGGTTGGTAGCAACCGACATCCAACTATACCGTTTTACTGCCACATTGTCTCCGTGTAAACTCAGCCTCAGAGTGGGACAGCTAAGAAACACTGCACAGCGGGGGCTCTTTCACACCCGCGAGAGGGAGAAAGGTGTGAAATCCCCCTCTGCTCTGACCCCCACCTCCTGCTGCTCTGACCCCCACCTCCTGCTGCTCTGACCCCCACCTCCTGCTGCTCTGACCCCCACCTCCTGCTGCTCTGACCCTCACCTCCTGCTGCTCTGACCCCCACCTCCTGCTGCTCTGACCCCCACCTCCTGCTGCTCTGACCCCCACCTCCTGCTGCTCTGACCCCCACCTCCTGCTGCTCTGACCCCCACCTCCTGCTGCTCTGACCCCCACCTCCTGCTGCTCCCCGCACGTACATTTGGACATGCGCAGTAGCGGAGAACAAACATAAACAACAATGGCGGCGGTCACACTAACTAGCTTTGTGGGCTTCCAGCGCTGCACAGAGGATAATTCTACTCCTTCGTTCGTCCAAACGAGACCACGCGAAGCTCTAGGTTCAGTTTCCATTTTCACAGCTGCTGTTAAAATGCAGAATGATGTTGGTGCGTTCTGAGGGTCTGGCACAGGAAGTGAGTACACTGCAGAGAGGGGGGCTGGGCACGGGGCACGGGGCTCGTGTGAGTGTTGTAAAGTTTCTCTGCCCCTACTGGCCGGGCGCTAGAACTACATCGTTTTTCAACCTCATGTGAACGCTGAGAAATTTGCATTAGGAGCCTGGTCGTTTCTGTTAATAACCTGGAAACGTCTGCGCAGCGTCTCAGTATAAACAGGGCCTTAGACTAGGGCTGTCACTATGGGAGACCATGACGTAATTCCGATCGATTCCGTCTGTAATCCAATCCAATCCAATCCACTTTATTTATATAGCACATTTAAACAACAGTTACGTTTCCAAAGTGCTGCACAAAAAAGTATAAAATAAATAAAAACTTATCCTTAGCTTCACCAAGTATAAAAGAATTAAAATATATAAAACAGATTAAAACCATAAATAGAAATCAAATAACATAAAAACACAGAGGACCACACAACTCACGCAGTGTTAAAAGCCAAAGAGTAAAAGTTGGTCTTAATACGAGACTTAAAACATTCTACTGTGGGGGCCGTCCGGACATGGAGGGGAAGAGCGTTCCAGAGCTTAGGGCCGACCACAGAGAAGGCTCTGTCCCCCCGGAAAGCATCAAAACTCTCCGTCCCGTCTGAGCTCAGGGTGTGGGCCATAGAAACCTCTGTCCTATGCACACAATAAACATCCAGCCTGATGTGATTCCGATGTGATTACGCTAATGAACGGGACCCAATCAAAACAATGCACGGCGTATTTCTACAGTGTATGGACTGCAGTCTCGTCTCTGAACACAGGCAGAGACGAGAAAGCTCTGCCCCCGCTGCACACAGACCTGAGGACGGAGGAACAGGAGATTTTTGCTTTCATCCATCTCTTTGCTCTTTGCCCAAAGTACTTCCATTACTTTGCTGAGGTGGTGTTGTTGTTATCGCTTATCTTCTCTCTGCTGTTAACAAGTCACTGTGTTGGTCAGACTAGCGGCCCTTTCAGTGAAGCACAAAGAGGCCCATTTCTGAGTGAAGCTGGTTTTGTGGTAATAAGACAATATCTTTAGATAATTAACTATTATGAACAAATTAAATGAGTCTCGATTGTGATTATAAAAAGGTTACTTTCTATTGTGCGACACATCACAAGTTTGGGGAAATTATGATTATATTGTTAGATATTTCAAGCTTTCAAAAGTAATGATTTCCCTTCTTTTTCAATGTTAGACGTCACCATTTCTTAGTGCATTTTATAAAAGTGTTCCGTCCTCAAGGGGGGGCGCTTCATGTGTATACTTACATGTAGCCATTCTTTTGAAATAATATTTACTATACAAAATCTGATGAATGAAACCAATAATCGTAGACTAGACAAGTCTCTGGGCTGTTAGAAAAAGAAAAGAAATCGTGAATCAAATCGTGACCCTCAGATCAAATCGTGACACACCTAATTAAGACACTCATTTAGACGCATTAATTAGGATGTTTTAGCAGAATTGAGAAGGATTGCCATTATCTTGTACACCCTTTAACCAACGCAGACACACTTATGTGGTATATACATGCATTTGATGGCAGTGAAGAAGCCAGGGCACTGGGGAATCTGCTATAGTGGGTCAGGAGCCAAAAGTGGGTCAGTGGCTTGCTCTTCATGTTCCTACGGTTCACCCATTCATCACGAGCATAAAGCTGCACACAAAAACACATTACTCTTTTTTCCTCTATTTAAGGACACACATTTTACAACAAGTGTATTTTGTTATTTCTATCAAGAAGACGTTTTTTAGCTATAGCCACGCTAACATCAGTGACTTCTGGCACAGAGCAGCACAAGCACTTTCCCCCGGCACTTCTGTAGTGAACAGAGATCTTTCTCCAATTAACAAAAGTATTGTTTTGGAGATATCACTATTTAAATGTCTTTACAGCTGTGTGTGCAATGTTCTAGTACTAGAAAGGAAAGTTGCTAATAGTTTTCTCACTTCATCCCCTTGTTCTTCAACACCTGTGAATATGGCGTGATGAGTAAGAACAAGTGCACCAGGGTGAAGGCAGCAACATGTCAACAAAAACAATGTCAAAATTAGACTTGGTTGCGAGGCAGATTAAGTACAGATTTGTTTTGACACAGTTCCATATGGATTTGCACTTGGGGGAACAAGGCTTTATGAAACGCCAAAAACAACATTCTTCAT